ATTTATTGAACACAGGAGCCTGTAGGTGGAATTGCCTCCTGGCAGCCTGCGCTCTGGCGGTGACACGCATATCCGAGGGGCAGGCAAACAACAGATCACGGCCCTGAGGGGCCATGAGGTGGTTACAGGGCAGAGAAGTGGGCAGGGTGAAGCTGGCATCAGCTAGACCTCAGGGTGAGGCTGGTGGTTGCCACTGGCTTCTGCTTCATGAGGGCTTCTGGCTGACAGTGGTGGGGGTTTCTGGAAGCCCCCAAATGGAGGCAGTGTGGTGAGTGGAAGAAGTGCAATTTCTGGAGCTAGAAAGGACTTTGAATCCCTGACGCAACACTTATCTGCTGTGTGACTTCCGGCAAGTTGTTTTGCCTTTCTGGACGTCACCTGCAAAATGGGGATAATAATGCCTACCTTTTGTAAAGATTAAATGGCATGATGAATATCAGATGCCGACACATAGTAAGTGGGTTGTAGTATGGGCTATAAATGTGGGTTATAGTGCTGACTGGGGGTCACTTGGAGTGCTTTGCTTTGAGACCTTGTACTGGGACAATGTGACCTGGGAAAGGTCCCCTGTCCTCTCTGAGCCTTGCCCTTTTGTCTGTGTTTTTGGGTCAACTCTTTGGAGAGAAGAAGAGAAAGAAAAACCCAGGGTTTCCCCAGGAAGATCCTAGAGAGGGAATCTGAGACCATCTTTAATTCCTTTTCTGGAGCTCCCTCTCTGATGATTGCCCCCAAATATCTCCCCATTGTCTCAGTTCCCCAGTGCCATAGAGCTCTGACAAGATCAAGGCTGTCTCTTGCTCCGTCCAGGTCACCAGAGGTCAGGGGGGATACTTGTATGAGTGGTCCCTCTGAGAATGGTGGCTCCCTCCTCCCCTATTGGCTATCCCCACTGTTGGAAGCAATTTGAAGGCAAAGCAGATCTTTGGGGGAAGCAGGAGTCTCTCCTCCAAGTTGACCATGGTGGGCCCACAGAAGCCATATAGAGTCTACTCTGGAAGGGAGAAAGTGAGAAGAGGAAAGAGAAAAGCAGATCCTTTTTTCCTCCCTTGCTACATACAGCATGGTGAGTCAGAGCATTTGTCCTGACATCTGTGCTGCTTCGGGGAGCCTGAGTTGCTGGCAGAAGGACAGGGTTTCTGAGGGTGCTCAAGATTTCCCCAGCCTCCAACACATGCCACTGAACCAACATCAGGGCTACCATGTACTTAGCACTTACTCTATGTCAGGCACTGTGCATGCATTTATTATCCACAGCCTCACAATGACTCCACAGCTGAGTATTGTTTTTCCCATTTTACAGATGTGGAAACAGAGACTGTCTCAAGATCACAGAGCGAGTAAGTGGTAGAGGCATGACTTGAAGCCAGATCACTTGTCTTTACAAACCCAGCTCTTGCCTCCGCACAGTGCTGCCCCACCAAGACAGAGGGGAGGGATCAAGTGCTTCTCATAGGCTGCTCCTTGTGAATTTGTCTCTGGTGGTCATATAACCAGATTTCACCTGGATAAACATACTGATAAGCTCCCTGGTGGGAGTTACAGTGTGCTTCATCTCCGACTTCCTGCCCACTGTCATTCTAGAATAGGACTCCTTGATTCTATAGAAAGAGAATATATACCTGGGGTTTCAGCACCATGGACAGGACCCCAAGACCGGCTACCCTGAGGAGGCTGGGAGAGAAGACACGGATGGAAGAGGGCCCCTGTGCCTGAGAGCGGGGTGGGGGTTTGGCTTTGGTGCTCCCCAGGACTGACATGTCTTCTTGGCTTTGCCTCCTCCGCCCCCTTTCCATCTGTGGAGGTTGCCTGGGAATCTGGTTCCCTTCCTGCCTCCTTCTGACTCTTTCATCACCCCATACCCAACCCACCTCTTGCTGCCTCAAGAGCTAAGCTGAGCTCTCACGCAGTTTAGGAAATGTTAGAGGAATCCCTGGCTTTCAGAGGCCAGGCGTGTTCCCAGGCAGCACACGCAAACTTTGCACAGTTCAATTAATTGTGCACACCTCGGCACACCGGTATTTACTTAAATTGCAAACCTAGGTGGGTCTCACTTTGTGCAAAACTGGTGTATGAAAATCCAAATTGACTCTAACATGCAGTTCAGAGGGGGGGCTTCGTCTCCCAGCTTTCATGGGCCCCAGGGGTTTCATGGATGGACCTCAAGGTGGTCTCTGAACCCACTGGAAATGTGGGATGTTTTATTCCTTCTCTGTGTATGCATGTGTAAGAATTTATAAGCTTTTCGTTTTCTGGGAAAAGGTTTTGTAGATTTCATTGGATTCTCAGTGAGCTCAGGAGGTTGAAAAAGTTAAGGGAATAGCTGGGCTAAAGGATCATCCAGTTCAAGGCTTTTAATATTTTGGGACTACTGGTCGCCAGTTTCCAAAGTCAAATTCTAACCTCCTCACGCCTGTGTCCCCTTCAATGGTTGCTGTGGGGCAGCTCCTTTTTCCTCCTTTTCTCCCCAAAATCCAGCTCTTAAGTCAATGTTTGGGAATGAAGATGTCTGTCTGCCAGTCCACATTGTAATTTGGGTTATAAAATGCCAAGGTTAGTGGCATCCCTAGTAGTCTAAATTGATTTTATTGCAAACATTGCTCTGTGCACACGTTTTCAGAAAAGCACTTTAGCGTGAGGGTAATGGTGCAGGCAAGAGCATTGCTCCCAAATATGAAGAGAATCTGTATATGAAGAAAGTGCCAGGCCTGGACATCATCAGAACTTCTTTTGTCAAGTACTATTTTTCTTTTCAAAAAATTTATTAATTAAAAAAATTTACATCTAGGTTTGTTAGCATATAGTGCAATAATGATTTCAGGAGTAGATTCCAGTGGTTCACCCCCTACATATAACACCCGGTACTCATCCCAACAAGTGTCCTCCTTAACGCCCCTTGCCCAATTAGTCCATTCCCCCACCCAAAACCCCTCCAGCAACCCTCAGTTTGTTCTCTGTATTTGAGAGTCTCTTATGGTTTGTCCCCCTCCCTGTTTTTATATTATTTTTGCTTCCCTTCCCCTATGTTCATCTGTTTTGTTTCTTAAGTTCCATGTATGAGTGAAGTCATAGCATATTTGTCTTTCTTTAATTTCATGTAGGATAATACACTCTAGTTCCATCCATGTTGTTGCACAAATGGCAAGATTTCATTCTTTTTGATCGTTGAGTAATATTCGATGGTATATATATACCACATCTTCTTTATCCATTCATCTGTTGATGGACATTTGGGCTCCTTCCATACTTTGGCTATTGTCAATAGTGCTGCTATAAACATGGGGGTGCATGTGCCCCTTTGAAACAGCACACCTGCATCCCTTGGATAAATACCTAGTAGTGCAATTGCTGGGTCATAGGGCAGTTCTATTTTTAGCTTTTTGAGGAACCTCCATACTGTTTTCCAGAGTGGCAGTACCAGTTTGCATTCCCACCAGCAATGCGAAAGGGTTCCTCTTTTGTCACATCCTTGTCAGCATCTGTTGTTGCCTGATTATTAATTTTAGCTATTCTCCCGGGTGTGAGGTGGTATCTCATTGTGGTTTTAATTTCTATTTTCCTGATGATGGGTGATATTGAGCATTTTTTCATGTGTCTGTTAGCCATCTGGATGTCTTCTTAGGAAAAAGTGTCTATTCATGTCTTTTGTCCATTTCTTCACTGGATTATTTGCTTTTTGGGTGTTGAGTTTGATAAGTTCTTTATGGGTTTGAATGCTAACTCTTTATCTGATATCATTTGCAAATATCTTTTCCCATTCCGTTGGTTGCCTTTTAGCTTTGCTGATTGTTTCCTTCGCTGTGCAGAAGCTTTTTATTTTGATGAGGTCCCGGTAGTTCATTTTTGCTTTTGTTTCCCTTGCCTCTGGAGACGTGTTGAGTAAGAACTTGCTGCAACCAAGATCAAAGAGGTTTTTGCCTGCTTTCTCCTCGAGGATGTGGATGGCTTCCTGTCTTACATTTAGGTCTCTCATCCATTTTGAGTTTATTTTTGTGTATGGTGTAAGAAAGTGGTCCAGGTTCATTCTTCTGCATGTTGCTGTCCAGTTTTCCCAACACCACTTGCTGAAGACACTGTCTTTATTCCATTGGATGTTCTTTCCTGCTTTGTCAAAGATTAGTTGGCCATATGTTTGCAGGTCCATATCTGGGTTCTCTATTCTGTTCCATTGATCTGAGTGTCTGTTCTTGTGCCAGTACCATACTGTCTTGATGATTACAGCTTTGTAGTATAGCTTGAAGTCTGGGATTGTGATGCCTCCTGCTTTGGTTTTCTTTCTCAGGATTGCTTTGGCTATTTGGGGTCTTTTCTGGTTCCATACAAATTTTAGGATTGTTTGTTCTAGCTCTGTGAAGAATGCTGGTGTTATTTTGATGGGGATTGCCATCAAGTACTGTTTAATTGGAACTAATTCTTGTAGGCCAAAGGCTTTGTGTGGTGCTGGGGCTCACAGTCATGTGTGTCAACTGAGTGTTGTCCTTTGTGGGGTGAGCAGGGTGGTCTTCTGAACTGTCTGATTTGTGTTTGGGGCAGTGTTTCTCTGTTTAACTGTGCTTCCTAGAGGTCCTTGTGTCAGGGTCAGGGCTCAGTGCAGGGCCAGGATCAGGGCTCAGTCTATTGCTGAGCTCAGGCCACAGTCTGGGGCTAAGGTTGGGCTCAGTCCAGTCCAGAGATGAGGCTCAGTTTGGGACCTTGGTTATGTAGGTCTCAATCTATAGTAGTTATCAGGGCTCAGCCTGGGACCAGGAGCAGGGCTTGGTTTACTGCTGATGTCAGGGCTTGGTCTAGAGCCGGGATCAAGGTTCACTCTGGAGTAAGGGTCAGGTCTACAACTGGGGAATCTAGGACCACAGGGCTCATTCAAGGATCAGGAGGGCTCCGTGTATCACTCGTACTAGGGCTCAGTCTAGAATTAGGATCGAAGCTTCATCTGTGGCTGGGGTCAGCGTCGAACTGGAGGTCTTCTCTCAGGTATCTTATGTATGTGGCCTTCTGTTTCACAGGTGCCCAGGACCCCACGCCCAGGGATGGAATTGGCTGATAGGCGTCTGACCACCAAGCACAGCAGGAAGGCCTTAAAGGCCAGTCTGACACTGGGCATCCTGCTGGGCATGTTCTTTGTGACCTGGCTGCCCTTCTTTGTGGCCAACATAGCCCAGGTAATGCCACCACAGGGCGCAGGTGAGTCCAGGCCTTGCTGGGGAGGCCCCGAACCACACCCCAGCCCAGACATGGGGATGGAGGAGGGTGGGCTGCCTCTCATGGCATTTGTGTTTGTGTGTGCCTGTCCCATCCACGCTGGGTGGGGTGGTCTGTGAGCCTGCTCCGGGACCAAGCATGACATACCCCATCTCTCCAGGCTGTGTGCGACTGCGTCTCCCCAGGCCTCTTCGATGCCCTCACGTGGCTGGGTTACTGTAACAGCACCATGAACCCCATCATCTACCCACTCTTCATGCGGGACTTCAAGCGGGCCCTGAGTAGGTTCCTGCCGTGTCCCCGCTGCCCCGGGGAACACCGGGCCAGCCTGGCCTCACCCTCCATGCGTACCTCTCACAGCGGCCCCCGGCCGGGCCTGAGCCTGCAGCACGTGTTGCCACTGTCCTTGCCACCTGACTCCAATTCTGACTCGGGCTCAGGCTCCGGTGGTTCATCGGGCCTGCAGCACACGGCCCAGCCGCTGCTGCGTAGAGAGGTCCCCCGGGACCCCCCGCCCTCTGCCAGGGTTGCTGCTGTGGTCAATTTCTTCGACATCGATCCGGTGGAACCCAAGCTGCAGCTGCATCCACTTGGTGCTCCCACGAACTGACCTGGGCTTGGAGCTGGTCAGTGGGGAGCTGAACCAGATGGGACCAAGTCCCCAAGGCCTTGGACTGGCTCTGGGCTAAGGCTGGAGGCTGCAGGTCTCCTGGGAGCCCTCTGAGTTCCGGTGGGGTGCATCGAGCCAGCCCCCACTGCCCACTCCCTGGGATAAAAACTGGCTCAGATACTGTTTTCTCCAGGATGCTCCATTGCTGAGTGTTACCCATGGATGTGTGTGGAGGTGGCTGGGGGACTGTGGCAGAGGGGAAAAGGACCTCTTGGTTCAGGTTGGGGGGAAGACAGCCATCTCCTTTGACATTCTAAGAGACTGTAGGGAAGGGATGCCTCTGTCTGCAGAGGTAGATTAGTGCTGAGCTGAATCCCTCACTCCTCAAAAAGTGTAATCCGTGGGCCACCAGCATTAGCGTCACCTCCCTGCCATTTGTTACAAATGCACACCTGTACCCACGCCCCCACCCAAGACCTGCTGAGTCAGAATCTGCATGTTAGCGAGAGCCGCGGGGTGAACTGTGTGCACGTTACAGTCTGAGATGTGCTGGCTGGGATGATCGTTAGCCCGGAGGATGATTTGCCGTTCAGTCTGGCCACTGCCTTCAGGATGCACAGAAAAACACCTGCCCCGGGTGTCAGGAAGGCATACGTTTGAATCTCTGCTCCACTACTCCTAGCTCTTACACAAGTTCTGTAACCTCTCTGAGCCTGATGTTCCGTGTGCAAAGTGGGGTAACAATGCCTGCCTCCTAAGGTGTCATGAGAATTAGGACAGCATGTGTGGAACAGAACCCGCAGAACCCGCAGGTGGTGCTGCTGTAGGTGGTACCTGCTGTTAGAACTCCTGGCCCAGATCCCACCACCTGACTATGGCTCCCTGACTTCTAGCTCTGGATGCTGAGTGGGGCTCCCGTGTCCACTCCCAGGCTGCGGCCCTACCTCTCCTGGGGGCCAAGTGGGTGCAGGTGGTTCCTTGCTCAACACCAGGAATAGGTTTCCCTTCATCTTGGACTTCCTTGGACCTAGAAGGGAGCCAACTGATGGGGGACAGGCCAGCCCATTGCCCCACCTCCTCTGGCATTCCCTGGGTCAGTGAGGGAAACAGTGGTGGCCCCTCAGTTCAGCAGAGTGGAAGAGCCATCGCTGGTGTGGGTTACTGCCCTCGGGCAGGTAGGTGGGCCCTGTCACAGGAGCCTGGGTTGTCTTTGAGGCGGGGGGACTCTTGGTCTCCACAGTTCACCTGCCGTAAGTTCTTTTTCAGTCAGAGGCCTCCCCAGTTTCCACCAACCCAAATTCCCAGGGGGCCCTCCATGGCGGCCGGGCGCTCTCCTTGGTGCTGATTAGAGTCAACTCTGGCCCTGGCCACCAGCCACAGAGGGTTCATGGTGCTTGTTGGGGCTTCCCCTCAGCCCCCAGGCCTGCCTGAGTGGACTCCCAATAAACACTACCTGAGGCAGTGACCATGGTGTGGACTGGATTTGCTTGAGGGGCCCCTTGGGATGGACAAGCAGCTGGTGAAGTAGGTTGAGACCCTGGGCGAAATGGGCTGTCCGGACTCAGAGCAGCAGGAGTTCTGTAAATATCTGTTGAATGAACCAGCAAACGCATACGTGAGGGTCCATTCGGCGCTAATATTCTAGTTCCTTCTGCCGTCCTCCTCCTGGCAGCCTGCCCCAGAGCTTGTCAATACTTACTCTGCCTGGACCTTGGTTTTCCCCTCTGCACAATGGAGGATGACCTTCTCTGGCCCTGTCATTCAGGAGCACTGGGAGGAGCAAAGGAGATTCAGATACAGTGGCCAAGAGTCTGGAATCTGACTGGAGTTTGAGACTGACCAGCTGTGTGATGTTGAGCAGGTTACCTCTCTGGATCTCACTAACCTTCAGTAACATGAAGGTAATAGCAGTAGCTACCTCATAGCTATTGGTAGGGTCAGCTGAGACAACTCATGAAAGCACTCCGTCCATGGTAAATTCTCAATAAGTGGTAGCTATTGTTATTTTTATTATGATAATCATGATCACCTCTTCCTGTTCTAGGAAATCCTTCCCCACCATAGTGCATGCTGATTCAGCATATATTCAGCACACTGTGCCAGTTAGATCCAGGGCCACCATAGCACAACTGGGGGAGTGTGCCCGTTATATCACATACATGTGATTGAAGCTCCTGTGGTTCTGCAGTGCACAGCCTGGGTAGCTGTACAAGGCAAATCTGATCAGATCTCCCAAGAGCAGAGAGTAGACTGCTGGCTCCCCATCTGTGCCTGCTCTGCCTGTGGGCTGCTGGGCAGCCCTGGAGTATGGGCATTCACCTGGATTTACTGGGGCTTGGGGAGGGGGGGAATGGTGCCTTGGAAGCCTTGGGCCCCAGAGAGCCCCCCAGGCCCCCAGATGGTCAGCCAGACCCCACAACTGTGACCTGAAATATAGGAAGCCCAAGGCTGGTTGAGTCCTGGGGCTCTAAACTGTGCTTGGTCGTCTCTGCAGGGCTCTGGCCTTGCTTGCTCACAGAAGGAACGCTGTCTCTCTGCGAATCCCCCTCCTTCCAATTCCTTTCTTTTCAATTCCAACGCCTTTGACTTAGGAAAGGCACCGGTGGACATTCAGACTCATGGGGGGCACCTGGTGGAGGGGTAAGAGAGTGCTGCATGTAGGAGCCTGGGAAGACAGCTCCAGTCCCCTTCTGCGGTCAGTCCAGCCCTGCGCAGGGCCCCTGGGTCTCGCTGGCACAATCGGGGCAGCCCAGTGGGTTGGGGCCCATGCCGTGGCCGCAGATCTGGGGACTCTCGGCAGGGTCCAGCCCTGCCGGCACCGGGGCTCGGCTAGGGTCAGTGGCTGTGGCCACTTTGGGGCTGTCTCCAGGTGTGGTCTTGTCTGATGAGGAGGCGGCTGCTGTCTGGTGAGGCTCCTCCTGGGGCAGGCTGCCTGGGGCCAGCAGGAGCCCCTTTTCGTCCCAGCCTGGCTTGGTGTGGATGCCCACAGTCTTCAGGATGACGTCCATCTGCTTGGCGTAGTCCAGATGGCCGCTGACCTGCAGGGGGGGAGCAGTGAGTGACCCGTGGTGGGTGGTCAGAGCCCTGCCCTCCCCAGGGCCCCAAGCTACACTCCTGGGCCTCACCCTCTCCTCCCTCAGCAGCCTCAGCAACCCGATCCCTGACACCAGGAGTCTAGCTCTCAAGGACTCTCAAATCCAGAGTGCGTTGGGAAGCCTCTGGGTTCAAGGCCACTCCGGAATTCATTAAATATTTTTTTAAGTTTATTTTTTTTTGAGAGAGAGAGAGAGAGGGAGGGAGCGGGGTTGGATAGGGGCAGAGAGAGAGAGAGAGAGGGGCAGAGAATCTGGAAGCAGGCTCCGAGTTGTCAGCACAGAGCCCGAAGCGGGGCTTGAACTCACGAACCCATGAGATCATGACCTGAGCCGAAGTCGGACACTCAACTGACTGAGCCACCCCAGGCGCCCCTAGAGTTTATTAAATAAAGATGAAGGATGTCTTTCTACATAGTCTGGGTCCGTTGGGGGCAGGAAGGAATCTCCTGATAGAAAGTTGGGGTGGAAGTTCTCATTCTCTGCCAGCAGCTTTCAGGTACGGCAGAAGCTCTCTGCTGCTCACAGCTGTGGGACCGCGAGCGAGCCTCTCTAGACCTCGGACCTCCACTTGCCTCAGCTGTAAAATGGGAACAGTAAGAGTAGCTACATCAGAGCGTGGCTGGGAGGATTCCTTCGGGAAAAGCCCCCAAACTGAAAACAGCTGCGGCGCAGACTGCTAGGTACGTCCTGCAATTCTCGCTCCCCGTTTCTCTGTCATGAGAACTCATAGCTGAGTACATTCTCCCCCGTCCCTTGTAGCTGAGTGTAGTGTTGTGACAAGGGTTGGCCACGGGAAGCAGCAGTAGTGTTATGTGGCACCCTTTGGGTGCCTCTTTATTTTTATTTTTTTGGGTGTCTGCTTGGCTTAGTCAGCGGAGAATGCGACTCTTGATCTTGGGGTCGTGAGTTCAAGTCCTGTGCTGAGAATAGAGCTTATTTTTTTTAAAAGGCAGAGGGAGTGCCCTTCTCTCCTCCACGTCCTCTTTCCTGCTTGCTGGAATTCAGACGCGATGGCCGGAGCCTGAGCGGCAATCTTGGGCCAGAGTTGGCCCTCTACAAGCAAGAGGGAATTTTGACCCCTGAAGCCTGCACAGCTACCATACCAGCCCTGAACTGCCTATTCTGGCCTCTCCTTCCCTGACAGCAGCAACTCTTGTGTGTTCAAGCTACCTCAGCTGGGCCTCTGTTCCTTGGACCTGAATCTTTACTATGACAAAGGTTGAGGACTCAGAAGTGCCCACCTTCTTCCTCAGAGAATAGGGACACCCCCATTTTTGTGTTGGCTTCAGGGGTGGCTGAGAATGCCCGAAGCCTCACCGTGATAACGGACAATGCCCCGTACGGAGTAGGTCCATAATACACCACAGGAGACGAACTTAATGGATACAGTCCTGTGACAGGTGTCGGCTGCTAACTGTAGATGAAGAAATTGAGCCCTGCAGAGGTAAGGTGAGTTGCCCAGGGTCATCTAGCTAGGAAGTGTCCAAGTCGGGATTGGCATCTGGGGCCTGGTCTCTTCGTAGAGAACCGGCTGCGGTGGGGAACGCTGAAAATCATTTGTCATTTTACTGAAGAGGAAAGCAAAGTCCAGAGAGGGGTGGTGGTTTGCTTCATGACACACGGCACGTTTGAAGGCCAAGCTGTGTGGTGCTGTTTTCAAGATGCTGCAGTGGGGGCTGTTCAGCTGGGATCTGCTCCCTGAAATGCAGCCTCCCGCTCTCCCCGCCAGTTCCGGGGGGTCTGCTTAGTGCCCAAGGTGAGTGCAACCCAGAACATTCCTTGTTGTTTAGAAAGAAGACAGGAAAAACGCCAGGGACGCTTAGGAAACCGCACGAAGGCTCTGCTGCTAACATTCACCGGAACCACACATCACACGCTATTCAAATGATTTCTCAAGAACACGAAGACACAATTTCCTGTACAGCCTGGTGGTTTGCTCATGACCAGAACCTTTCTCTACAAACACTTTTTAACAGCGTTCAGTGAACACACATGCACGTACACCCAGACGGGGGGCTTTTCGGATCCCTGCGTTCTGGGTGGAGGGCAGGGTGGGGCAGTGTCTTTCCACAGAGGGTGGACCTTAGTGGCTGCAAAGCACTAGAGAGGACCTAACTTCGGGCTCAGAGAAACGGGGGTTCCAGCTCCTTCTTTTACGAGGAACTGGGGTGAGTCTTAACGATGTCCCGACCTCCAGCTTCTCCATCTATAAAATGAGGATCATGATACCTACCTTGAAAGTCTACGACAAGAGTGCAAGAGCCTGGCACTTTGTAGGAATCAGCATACGTTACCTCTGGGACATTACCCAGTTAGAGTTAGTGATGCCTACGTCACGGGGTGCAGGGGAAGATATAATACGTACAAGCCACGAGGTACACGGCACATGGCTGGTGCTGCGTGAGCGTGAGTGAGTTCCCTTGCCTTAATTTCCCTGGAAGGGACAATAGGGGATAGAGGGTAGGGAGTTGGCTGGGCTGATCCACCTGGGAACCCAAGATGGCTGACCGGGCTCTAGCCATCACACCTCAGTGTCCAGTCAGCAGAAACCTAGACCCACAGGGACAAACAAGAACTGTTAGTGAAGGGCCGGTGCTGGGCTGGGTGGAGGCAGGCAGGCAGGAAGGGAGGGGTTTGTGGCCCCCGGCTACCGCTGACTGCAGGTGGAAATCCCACCACACGGCTCTTCTTCCTTCCCTGGCTTTCCCTGGCTCTGGGACACAGCTCTGGCCTTCCCTGGCTAGGGACTGTCCCCGGGGGCTCCTCTGTGACCGTGTCCGCCGCACCCCACTGTCTTCGTCTGCTTGCTCATTTGTATCCTCCGATGGACTGTGAGCCTAGGGAGCGCAGGGGCCCCTTCTAACTCGCCGCACTGCCCACGGCTGGCCCGGCGCCCGGTGATCCACGCTGCCTGGACTGGCCTCAGCACTGCCTGTTTGCTGCCTCGCGAGGCATCTTGGGACCCGCCTCGACTGGGCCGCTGCTGCCCGCCTCTGCCCGCCAGTAACTCCTTCCAAGCCCATCGGGCCCCTTCGGGTTCCTTTACCCCTCGGGCCTCAGTGTCCACATCTGTCAAGCAGGGCTAGGGAAGGCACCCGCGTCACGTGCGCTGGTGGGAGGAGTCAGTGAGCTAACACGCGTGGCAGACTCCTTGACCCGGAGGTAGAGGTCACCGGCGGGGCACCAGAGACGTGTGGGCGCGGGCAGCACGAGTCCAACGGCAAAGAGCCCGGGCCCTGCCCGCTCCCCCCAGGTTCACCTGGCTCGACCGCTCGCATGCAGCCTCGGTTTCCACACCTGTACAATAGGGCTACCGTCCCTGCCTCACGGGACCGCTATGGGGACGGGCGACATAAGGTCTGCAAAGCAGGTACAGCAGCACCTCACACACGCCGGCTTTCTTACTGCCACCGTTGGAGCCCAGCCCTGCGCTAAGTTCTACAAGTCAGCTGGCATTTCCTTAGGGCCATGGAGAGCGGAAACCCTGTGACACCTCAGGAGTTGGCCCCGCCCGAGCCAGACGCCCCCAGCCGCTGCACCCTGGTCCCCACACGGGACAGGCCAAAGGGCAGGAGGGCCGCCTGGCCTTCGTCGGCTTGGTCCACCCCAACAGGAGCTGCCTGCCTGCGACGGGGCCAGCCCCTCACTCCCTGCTGGCTCAGGCTTGTCCGCCACCAGGAGCCACCGCGGACCACGTCTGGGTGGGTGGCTGATGCGGGGCTGGTGCGCAAGGGCTCTGCCCGCGGCCCGGCAGGGAGAAGGCGGACCGCGCAGGCCTCTGCCCGGAGCACCTGGGCAGCAGCGAAGGGAACTCACTGGCCAGCGGCCTCTCCTCCAGCAAGGATTTTCAGCACCAAAGCAATGCTAACTACCTCCAATTACCCAGAAGAGGACGGCACTGCTTTTTTTGTGCTGTGTTCCTGAAGTGATAAAGAGCTGCGCTCTCCGAAGCCAGAAGCCGCCTCAAAGACGGTCTGAGGAGGGAGGGGGTCTGAGGGGCGAAAGAACTGAAGACGGTGGCAGGGGTAGGACAGGAGGGAACTAGTATTACATGAAGGCCTACGAGGCAGCAAGCATCTTACCTGTGCTGCCCCGGAAGGCAGGGGACTCCCCCCATCTCGTGTAGGAGAAAACTGAGGCACAGAGAGGCTGAGTAACTGGCCTGAGGTCACACAGCCAGTATACCGGCAGCAGAGCCTGGCCTCTCTGGTGCCAAAGGCTGCTGTGCTCTTGTCACTGTATCCCACTCAGGGGCTCCCCAGGGCAGAAAGCGGGTCTTGCCAGGGCTCTGTGGTGTTTAAAGGGAATTTCACGCAGGAGGACGTTTCTTCTGACCCTTTGCACCTCTGATGCTTCTGGCAGAGGGAGACTGGGCACGGTGAGGCACAAAGTCACTTCTGTCCTTCACCCCTTCAGGGAACAGCGACCCTTAAATAGGACGGCGACCCCTGGACACGGTCAGGAGGCCTCGCTGTGGTCCTGTGGTTTCCTGGTCTTGTCACTCAGCCTACCTCACCCCACAGGGAAGTGGACAGCACAGCCCTGGGCCTGGTTTCAGGGCCCGGATCCACGACCTCTGGCTCCATGAGCCCATTCTGTCAGGTCTCAGTTTTCCAACCTGTGATTGGGGATGCCCAGTACCGACTACACAGGCTGCCATGAGGTTCGCATCATGTGAAGCTGGTCTATCAGGGAGACAGATGACCCAAGGAGCCTCGTGTGGCGCTGGGGGTAGAAGCTCTTATCTGTCCCGGGAAGACCGTCTCTCTAACCAGGAACCATCAGTCTTGTGTATGTGTGAGTCTAGAAGGTCCTTTTTCTCGGGCCAAACGCCAGCCTCTGAAGCTACCAGTTAGGAAGGCAGGGGGTTGGGGCGCCTGGGTGGCTCGGTCGGTTAAGGGTCTGACTTCGGCTCAGGTCATGATCTCGCGGTTTGTGAGTTTGAGCCCCGTGTCGGGCTCTGTGCTGACAGCTCAGGGCCTGGAGCCTGCTTCCGATTCTGGGTCTCCCTTTCCCTCTGC